CATATCGTACATGAGCGCCCCGAGGCTCCACCAATCCACCGCTCTGTTGTGACCCGACCTGGTCAGGATCTCTGGAGCCCTGCAAGAAAACAGGCAAACACAAAGTGAGGGAGTGAACGTTTCTGTGATGGATAATCGGTGACTAGTCGACTATAAAAATAATCGTTTGTGGCAGCCCTAATGTAAAATTAACTGAAAGTATTTGTCAGATAATTAGCATGACTTTTCAAAACTTTTCCAGCCACAAAAATCTGGCTTTTGCAGCTTTTTTGACTAAATCACTGAAACTAAAGTCATTCATTTGGCCCCTTTGCAAAGTTTTTATGTTGCTTTAAGGTGTCAGATGACCAGATGGAGGAGAAAGGTGGAAAAAACGTCCACTGAAAGTAGCAGAAGAAAACTCAAGCAAAACATCCCGGTGCTGCGTACAAAACAAAGTTTTGTGAAAGTTAAAAGGTGAACTTCACTAATGGCCTGGACTCAAAACTTTTACGATAAATATATATAAAGTTAAATGTTCCAGAGAAAAATCTGGACATGTTTAAAACCATCTGCTCACCGAGTGTTCCCTGGACTGTTTCCTACATTGATTTTATTTTGGCATAGAAAGGAGTGCGCTACACTGAGATGTGTGACTGGGAAGGGCAGTAAAGTCTCCACCGCACGCTGAGAAGACGGACAGCCAGCTTCTCTTGGCAGACGCGAAGGAGGGAGGCTGCTGGCAGGAGGCGAGCCCCGACTAATTCTTAAGAATCATTGATCTGACACCGAATCTGCGAACAGCAATTACTCATATGTGTACAAACCAGACCAGGAGCCACGAGGCATTATTTTAAAAAAGGAAAAATAACTGGGCTGAAAAACACGTTTAAAACTGAAACCAAATCAATTTGAAACCCACTCCAAGTGGCACAATCTAAAGCCATTTAGCATGATTTATTTGTGTAACCAACTGGGCGTTGATGAGATACCCGTTTAAAAAGGTTTGCTACCCTGGATGTTTGATGTGCTTTCTCTTAGTTCACTGGAGAAAACTTCAAAAAGTACATTTAAGCTTTAAAATGCACAGAAGGACAAGCACATCTGCACCGTGTTTCATGCGGCTTTGTGCTACGCACCTTTTTGACGAGGTCTCTGGCATCGATTGTCAGGTACGGCGGCAGGCTGAGTTTACACTT